TACCATATTGAAAAATATACTATTTTTGTATGATAATTATGGGTTTTGTATTTTATTTTAATAGAAGTTGATGTTGCTTTTGCAATTATCCATCAATTTTTTAAAATTAAACACTATCTACAGATTTGCATCGAAGCGTTTCTTATGATAGTGATTTTAATCACTGTCAGATTAAATCTATACTGGACCCTACTATGCAATGTCTCCACTATGCCGCGACCTTACTGTGCTACCGTTTTTTTTTATCTTCTCTTTGTCATGTTTCTCTTTTTGCCTCAACTATTTTCAGTTTAATATCTGCCGGTAATCTGTTATCAAAAAATGCTAAAGCTACATTGTCATGTGATAAATACCATAAATGTCCTGAAAATTTCTGTGTCAAGCTATAGTTATAAAATAATCAGGATAATTAATTAAAAATTTTAGGAAACATAAATCATTAAATGGTGATTGTATGACAATAGATCCCTTAATCCAAGTCTCGGCATAAACTTTTAACAAAAATACACAAATATCACGAAATGCGTCTTTTTTTCGTGTTTTAAACATTAACTGTTTACTGAAATTGTATATTTTTAGCAAATTCCATTCTCGCCAGAACCACTCTCAATTATTGGGACCCCAAGTAATTGACTTTATCCTTCAAATGACACCAAGATTGGCAATCGATTAACTTTAGATCTTTTCATAATATCTAAAGTAATTTTTCATCCCAATGCAAGACTAGACTATTTTTATCCAAGAGTTTAAAATTTTTAAAATTTCATTTGCCGTTCTCTCTCTAAAAAATAATCTTTCCCGTCGAATATTTAATCGGTTGATTATTAACTTTGATATGTTATTAAATAATGTTTCAGCAGTAGAAATAATTAAATGCACAGCATCGCGGTCAGATAACTTGCATTGATCTAATGCAGCAAGTAACTTAGAAGTCATAAAAGCTATAGAACCTTGTGTTTTTGAAGAATATGATGAACTAGACAAATCATCTGCTGTTTCAAATTCCGAGGAACTAGATAAATTTAACTCTAACACATTATCTAAACAAAAAAATTACCAATTTAAACAACTTTACTTATTTTTAAAGAAAATTGAGTAACCTTACCATACCAATGGATTCCATTTCTGATTGTGAACATTTATTTTGTTTCTTTTTTTTTTAACTCTTCATTTTGTTTTTTCTTTTGAAAAACTTGTTGAATGAAATCAGGTCTACCTTTCTATCTTTGTAACAACGAAATATTTTTATCTTACTCAATTTTCATCATATCTAATGAATTAGAATGGAAATATCAAATAAATCGTTTAACTGTTCCGTATATTAAGTGATTTTATTTAGATGTTTATTGGTAGTTATTTTTGACGATTTTTGAAGTTCTCTTATATTTGAGTACAATTTTTCAAGTAAATACACACAGAAATGTTTTCCTTGTAACTCCATATGTACTTATCCTAAAGTTGTTATCGACTCATAAAATTTTTTCGTAAGATATTGGCTATAAAATGATATTAAAATAAAAAAAAACATATAATATTTTTTTATTAAATACAAATAAAATACATTTAAAACGCAATTTAAAAATTCATAAATTATTTTGAGAAAAAGTAAATCAAAATTAATAAATTGTCTAATCATTGTTGAAAGGGCTACTGGGCTCACAAGGCCTTAACTGGTAATAGAACAGAAACAATTTTTCATTTGAGATGAACAACAATAATTATATTCTGATAAAACAATGAATGATTTATTTTTCCTATAATGAAAGATGAATGTTAATAAAAAAAATATATTATTATAACATTAAACTATACATAATCTTAACAGTTAGTAAACATTTAACAACATTTATATTTACTTTCTCATGGAATATATTAAATGACTTAAATCTCAATTCACACAAATTATAAATGTATATAAATATAGATATAATATATTATTATAACTTGCCAATAGAAAAGAACAAGTTATTTACATCAATAAATACTAATGCATAAGTGGATGAGGACCAAATTTATGGTTTGACTTCTTTTATTTAATTTAGCAATTTTTACTTAAGATGATGTTGCTGTGAGGTACACATATCCTGACAAAATGAGCAACCACAATTGGCTGAGAACAAACTATCCACAAAAAGGATTATTCAGAAGAACCTATTTCTTCTTTCTTCATATATCTGAATAGATCACAATCGGCTTAGAACAAAAAAAATCCACATAAAAGGATTTATTCAGAAGAACATATTTCTTCCATTAAAACATGAAGTTCCATAACCATAAAAAAATCAGTCTTTTTATCACAAAAAAAACAACATGAAATGTGATAGCTTTACACAGTGTCGCCCTATTCTGCGGCGCGAACAATTGTGGACTATATTGTGTATTCGTATAACTCGAACTTTATTACACTACAAGTCCTGTAGTGTGACTGATAAATCTTATCAACATCTATGCTTAAATAAAATTTTTACTATTTTTTTAGAAAATAGTTGTGTCATTAAAAGCAATATTGGTGTATTTCTTAATACAATCAACAGGTAATATAAAACATGTAGTTTTTCTATTCATCTTAATCACTTTATGACTTAATTGGTTAATTTAAATATCATATGTTTAGTGTTGTCTCTTCTCAAAACTTACGATTTTTAAATTTGCTCTTTGAATAATTATTCAATAACGAAATTTCTTCATTAAAAATAAATTTTGATAGTAAAATTAATTTGTTAAATAAATTATAATTATTATTGATATTTTTATTAGGAATTTTTTCAAGTTCTAGTAAGTAATAGTTATGAATAATATTTTCTTTTTGTAGGTAAACTCAGCTTTCTACAATGCTCTTACTAATAATTTAGATTTATATTCAAAAAAATTTCAATTATTTAAAAATCTATTGTTATTTTATAACCTATAGCCTTTTCGGAAAGAAATTCTATTTTAGACATCCTTTATATAGTAATTAATTTTTGTTATTTTACAGATAATTCTTTAAATTCAAGTAATTACTAAATAAAATTAATAATTTTTCGTTTAAGCTTTAATTTTAATTCTACTGATTGTTTATTTATAAAGAAACTTAAGGAAATTCGAAAACTCAATATAGTTTGAAACTTGTTCATTTTTTCCCAAAAACATTATAGTAACTCCAAAATAAAATAATGTAAAAAATATCATATAAAATTAAAAAAGTAACTTTAAATATGCTTTTAAACTATATTGAGAATAGTTAAGAAGAATGTGGTAAAAAAATAAGGCTGCAAGCTATGTATGAATCTTTTCATATACATGATTTTTATATACAGAATGGCCCAACACTCACTGACAACTTAAATAACTTTTGATGCAGTTAATATTTTTAGTTGATTTTTTTTTTAAATAATAGTTATACGTTAGGTCTATAGCTTTATCTCAATAATTATTTTTTTTACATTATATTAAAAATATTAATTATTTTTAAATTTTAAATAAAATGTAAAAAAAAAATCTAAGATAGCTATTTTGTAGAGTAGAATTTAAGAAAAACTTTAGTAAAAAAATATCTTATTAATATTGAGTAGTAAATATTCTGTAGCGTTTTGAAGTTTGTGAAATTTTGAATTTTCATGTATTATTTTACGGTATTAAACATTGAAATACGTATTGAGAAAAGGACAGAAGAAAACGCTATCTTTTCATGATTACTGTGTATACATATGATGATAATGTGTATACATTACAAACTTGGCATTAATACCATGATAAGAAATTAGATAAGGCAATTATTACTTATCACTCTCATTCAAAAGTATATTGAAAAGATCACTATTATAAAATGCCACAACGAATTTAAAAAATGATTTCAATACACAATATTATAGTTATCAAGTAAATAAGTTTAATGCAATATTTTAAGTAAATCTCTTAAAAAAAAAATAATTATTATTAAAATACTTACAGCAGAAGAATTAGAAGGTGAGTACATTTTTTAAAAGAAAGCTTAATGTATTTTAAATTTTTATGCTTAATAAATATCATGAAAAATATTACAATTACAGAATATTATTCACCGTGGGACTTTAGTGACGGTATGTCAATTATTTCATAAAAACTACAGTATTTATAACATATTAACTATGACAGACACTTAATAAAAAACAAAAATTATATTGATTTGATCGTTTTTAAAAAATATAAGAAACTTTTAAGTAAAAAAAATTGAAAAAACCCAGCACAGTGGGGTCGCAGCACAGTGGTGCCGTGGTATAGTTGGATCAAGTATAATGATATCTGACAGTGCTTAAAATCACTATCAAAAATAAACGAAAATCTTTAGATTTTAGAATAGACAGCCATTTGCACATAGAAGATAAGATGTCGGGACAAATTTTTTTTTTTTATTTGATAGTATATAACATAACCTTTGATTTGATATATGTTTAAAGGACGCAGTATTTCCGGAACATTTTCAAAAGTTCAGTTGAAAAAGATCTATGTTTTTTACAATATTTTAAGTTTTGAACGCCCCCTATATAAGGGGAAATTGTCCAATTTTAATAAAAAGTATGTCAAATGAAAGATGTACTTATAATGTATTTAGAAAAAAAAAATTGTGCTGATATATACATTTTTCAAAAAGTTATAGCATTTTTAAGTTGAAAATTTAAAATCGAAAATCGAAAATTTTAACACAAAAATAGTGTTTTTTTAACTACGGCAGCCGTTTAAATGTAGAAAAAAAAGTGTCGGGACAAATTTTTTTTTTTCATTTTGTAGTACATAAAATAAGCTTTAATTTGATATATGTTTAAAGGACGCAGTATTTCCGGAACATTTTCAAAAATTAAGTTGAAAAAATTAATTTTTGTAAAAAACTTGCCATTTTAAATCCCCCCTAATGAGCAGGTTAAGTGATAGATTTTCAAAAAAATGATATTAAATGAAACGTAAATATCTAAGGTTTTAGTATAAAAAAAAATTATGTTGATTTGTTGATTTTTCAAAAAGTTATGGAAGTTTTAAGAAAAAAAAGTGAAAAAATTTCGAAAATTAGCGATTTTTAAATTTGTAATTTTTTTGGATATTTCCCCCATTTGCGGGGAACGAGGGAATTTTTTTCAATTTTTAAGGGTAATGTCTTCAACTAGATACGATTTGTGATCTTTTGACGTATCATTGAAAGAAATCGGTTCGGTGAGAGCTGAGAAAAAGTGGTAACAGACACAAAAAAAAAAAAAAAAAAAAAAAAAAAAAAAACACATCATAGTAAAATTAATACCTTCTCCGCTTCGCATCGAAGCTAAAAATTGAAAAATTATTAAAAATTAGCGATTTTTTAATTTATAATTTTTTTGGAGATTTCGCCCATTTACGGGGTAAAATTTTTAGTTTTTAATAGTAATGTCTTCGACTAGATACGATTTGTGATCTTTTGACGTATTGTTGAAAGAAATCGATTTGGCGAGAGATGAGAAAAAGTGGTAACAGACAAAAAATAAAAAAAAAAACACATCATAGTAAAATAATACCTTATCAACTTTGCATCGAAGCTAAAAAATCATGTATACAGTGTATACTATACACATGCACTCAAATAAATGTGTTTAGGGTGGCCTTACGTTTTTTATTATTTTTACGTTAAGAATTATTCTTTTTTGAGTAAGCTACAGAAAACTAAAAATCTCCACTTGAGTTAAACTGTTAACCATCTTATTACACCTCTTAGTATTGAGAAACATTGACCAAATTTTCAATAATTTTTTTTTTATTGTTAATTGTTTTTTTTTTTTTTTACAAATTTTAGAGGTAAAAAAATTGAATTAAAAAAAAATGTATTCTATATCTGAGGATCTTTCTAATGGTTTATCAAAAATTGATATTTTTAATAAATAATAACGTTTTTTAATAATTGAAAATGAGGTCATTATGTTCTCAAATAAATGTGTATTTATTTAAGTATTTGTGGATACTCAATATTTTTTGTTTTTCCGACATGATACCAAATACAGTTGTCAATGTGAAAGCACAGATTCCGCTTATTTTTAATAAGGATTCTTCTTATAATTAAATAATTATTAGTACATTATATTACAGGAGAAGAATTAGAAGGTGAGTGTGTTTTTTAAAATATTTTTTTTTAAAGGAATGCATAAAGTAATTTACATTTTTATACTTAATATATATCATAAAAATTATTACAATTACAGAATATTATTCACCTTGGGACTTAAGTGACGGTATGTCTATTATTTTATCTATTATTATTAAAAAACGATACGAAAAACAAAAAATGATATCATATCAATATCACTGAACGTAACATTATTGATAATGTAAAACAATACTTATTAAAACATAAATATATATTTCACACATTATACTTTATAAATATAAATATAAAGATATAAACGAAAAAATTTAATAACGCTTTGATGTCATAAAATGATATACAAAAATGATATTATATTAAAATGTTGAACAACATAAATATATAATAAAAATTGATCACTTGTGGCTAGTTAATTAAGTAAAATTAAAACTATATTAAAAATATTATTAATTTAAAAAAACTAAAAATATTAAAAATATTAAACTCAAAAGCCACAAAAAAATTAATGAAAAGTCGCGGATACGTATTTCGGAAACAATGTTACCATTATCAACGCTAAACACATACTGACACCCCGACTAGAAAAAACTCCCTTATATACCCCTAGTGACCTTATCACCTAGTGACGTTATCACTAAGTAATATTATCACATTTTGCCAGTTTACACAAGTTTAATAATGAATTTTTCAGTGGGCCAAGATCCCAATTAATTATTGATTAATTTTTCATTAATTTTTTTGTGGCTTTTGAATTTAATATTTTTAATATTTTTTAGTTTTTTTAAATTAATAATATTTTTAATATAGTTTTAATTTTACTGAACAACATAAAGTTTAATTCCAAGATAACTTATAGTTTATTTAAACGGTAAACGGAAATACATTTAAAATCTGATTGCAACCCAACCATCAATAATTATAAAAATATAAAATTATATAAGTCAATATATTTTTAAATTGGTATTAAGGTTAGTGATGAAGTAACTCTACGTCATTATAATTTATTATTAATTAGTTTGTATTTTCAGATGATGAAGAAGTTAGTAAGTATATATGTTATGTTTATTTATCAATAATTAATTAAGTTAATTTTTTGTTGTGCTATTTTTTATAGCATTATAATATTTTTTTTAAGATTATATGAAAATTATTTTTATAAGTCTAAATTCAAATTTTATAAAATTTTTTTTTTTCTTTAACGTTTAACTTTTGTGTTAAAAAAATACTTTCCATGCTGGATAATTTTGTAAAATAAAAATTATAATCAAAATTAAACCAATAATATAAAACACGATTAATAGCTTTGAAACAAACCTCGAAACCAACCTTATCGTAGAGATAACGTATATATCAAACGATTATTTTTAGACATATTTTTTTCTTTAGAATGATATAAAAACTTATGTAATTAAAAAATAATTTTTGCTTAATAGAAAATAGAATTCTATCTAATAATACAATAGTATTCTTCTATTTGCTCCATAAGCTATTATTAAAGATTGAAACAGGTTCTCTAAAAACCAGGTAAAACTGATTTTTTCTAGTTTTTCTAAATTAAACTAGAACCACAACCACATAAAATTCAAAACCAATTTCTAAAATTGAAACCGACTATTTATGAAAAACAACATCTAAAACTAAAACAGAAATCGGTCATATTTTTAAATAGATTTTGAAATCAATACACAAAACAGAAATCGAAAATGCTAACAAAATAAACATTTTCAGTCCCTGGTCATTACATTCGCTGCATATTTATTTATATTTACTTGACTAAATTAAATTACATTTGTTTATGTATGACGTTAACGTTATCACTTAAAATATTTTATTAGATAAAATATCAACTAAACTCATTGATTACTATATTTTAGCCAGGGAAAATCGTAAGTAATATTATGATATATTAATCATTTATATTTTTAAGTCATCATTTGTTAAAAATTACGTTGAAATCTATTATATTTGAAGTAATGATTGTTCATAAATGATAATTATTCTATGCAACTGTAATCTTACATGAGTAATATTGAAAAGATTTCAAAACTTTAACAATTAAGGAATATTTAATTAATATTATAATATTTATTTTTTGCATATTTTAATTATTTATTTGATGCATATTTTTTATGTGTAAATTTATATTATTTTTAGCTCTTTAAGTATATATGAATTCGGACTGTAATTATACCTTTCAGACTCGGAATTTTTTTATTTAAAAAACACTTTTTTTAGTAAAATAATATGGTCTACAACTATTACATTTAATGAATGTTTTAATGTGAAACCCTTATAAGGACATTTCGGGTTTAGAATGAATAATAGCTTATCCATTATTTATTATAAATGACTAATAAATTGTGAATGTGTTAAAGCTTTCATGAATTGTCTTGTTGCTTAAAGTGCTTAAGGATTGATCCATGTTTACATTTGAGTTCTGACATTTCGGACTCATTGCAGATTTTTTTTTTCATTATCTTCAAATGTATATTGATATCAATTAGATCATGTTTTCATATAGAATACAGTTATTTAATCAGATTTAACACAGAATGTTATCAATGTTGTAGAGTGATTTTATGCAGTTTTAGTTGTAAAAAGCCCTATTTTCAAATGCATAATCTTTTTTTACATTTAAAAGGATATTTATGGAAAAATTGATCAAGACTTTTAATTGTTAATCAGTGGAGCTTAATTTGATTTCCCTATGATGAACGCTATATAAATTATTAAAATATTTTATACTAGATTTCCTAACACTTTAACATAGAAATAATCATATGCTTCGCACTCATAAATTAAAATTTTATTTATTTTTTATCGGTCTCTTGGTAAATTAACTAAAATTTTCTATCTTAATAAAAAATTCCGCCAATAAAAATAAAAAAGTGCTATAAAATGTATAGATTAAAAAAAAAAATTAAGTACTCAATGTTAATTTAATTTACATAATATAACTAAATATATCGTCCAAAGTTTACCAAACATATATACAAAAAAAACCCAGTACAGGGGGGTAACGCCACAGTGGTGACGTAGCATAGTTGGAACAAGTATAATGATATCTGACAGTGATTAAAATCACTAATATAAAAAAAAAATGCTTCTATGCAAATCTTTAGATAGTATTTAATTTTAAAAAATTGATGGATTATTCCAAAAGCTACATGATCTGCTAGTTCCTTATTAATATCCTGATTAAGATAAAGTATGTCGAATGAAAAAGGGATTATTAAAAAATATTATTTCTCATAAAAAAATTATGTTGATCAATACACATTTCAATAAGTTATAGCATTATAAAGTTAAAAATGTAAAAAATAAAATTGAGAATTTTCACACAATAATAGCATTTGGTAGCCATTTTCACCGTGAAGACAAAATAAAGTCCGAATTTTTTTTTTTGCATAATAAAATAAATTACATTAGCTTTAATTTAAGATATATATAAAAGTGTCAGTCTTTCCGGAACACTTTCAAAATTTAAGTTGAAAAAGTAAATTTTTTGTGAAAAAGTTGTCATTTTGAATCCCCCCCTGTAGGCAGGTAAAAAGTCAGATTTATAAAAAAAATATAACAAATGGTAGGTAAAGACATCATGCATCTACAAAAAAAAGAATTATATTGATCCATACATCTTTCAAAAAGTTATAGCATTATAAAGTTAAAAATATAAAAAAGAATTTTTTTACAAAAATCGTATTTTTTTTATTAAGTTTAATGTCTGTTTTCACCATGAAGATAAAATAAAGTCCGAAATTTTTTTTTACCATTATAAAGTATATTACATTAGCTTTAATTTAAGATATATATAAAAGTGTCAGACCTTCCGGAACACTTTCAAAAGTTACGTTGAAAAAGTTCTACTTTCTATATGCATTTTTATGTTTTGAATCCCCCCTGTATTTAGGGAAATGGTCCGATTTAAAAAAACAGTATGTCGAATGAAAGATCTATATAAATACTACTTCTCATAAAAAAATTGTAATGATTCATACATTTTTCAAAAAGTTATAGCATAATAAAGTTAAAAATGGAAAATACAAAATCGAAAATTTTCACACAAAAATAGCATTCGGTAGCCATTTTCACCATGAAGATAAGATAAAGTCCGAAATTTTTTTTTTTCATGATAAAGCATATTACATTAGCTTTAATTTAAGATATATATAAAAGTGTCAGACCTTCCGGAACATTTTCAAAATTTAAGTTAAAAAAATTAATTTTTTGTGAAAAAGTTGTCATTTTAAATCCCCCCTTGTGGGCAGGTTAAGGGTTAAATTTATGAAAAAAATATACCAAATGAAAGGTAATGATATTATGCAATTATATAAAAAAGAATTATATTAATATGTTTATTTTTGAAAAATTTATGGCACTTTTAAGTAAAAAAAATTGAAAAAATTATTAAAAATTAGCGATTTTTTAATTTATAATTTTTTTGGAGATTTCGCCCATTTACGGGGTAAAATTTTTAGTTTTTAAGGGTAATGTCTTCGACTAGATACGATTTGTGATCTTTTGACGTATCATTGAAAGAAATCGGTTCGGTGAGAGCTGAGAAAAAGTGGTAACAGACACAAA